CAATAATATATAGATGTGAAAAAAAATTATTTTATTTAAAACATTTTGGCGTTTGGAACATAAAATAGAAGTAGCGAATACAATTTAAATCGAAAGACGTATACAATTTTAAAAGTACCGTAAGGTATTGTTCATTCTTTAAGCATAACATTTTTGTTAAAATCTATATTTTTGTAGTTCAACAGCTTAGAATTTTATAAAACGAATTCATAATCAAAATCGCTGTTGTTGTTAGTTATCGAAAAATAACCAAGATGTGATTTTTGCGTAAATGTCACTAAACTATACAAATTGCTATTATCCATCAACATATGAATGCTTTTCATGCGAAAGTGTCCTTTTTTCGATTTGTATGGAACTGTCGTGTGTCGAAATACTATCAGAACACTGTCAAGCGAGCTTTTGAATGTAAACAAAGAACACCCCATCTGGTGACCGAAGCTTCGAAGCAGTGCTTCACTTCTAGCGCCGGTTGGCCACTCCTTCTTTCTTATCTCCATGGAAAAAAGGGATTGTAAATTTTCGACCTGACCGCATATAGGGATGGCTTTATTTCACTTTAGATAAATAACCCAACTCTTGCAGTAACCTTTCATCGTTATCATTTCGCTTCTCAAGGAAAAATATTTCGCGCCTCTAACAGTAAAAACACTAATCAGGAAGTTTTGAAAAGTTTTCTAGAGGAGACGAATTTTAGCTATATATATATAATTTCGTCACCCTATATGCGGTCAATCACCCTATATGCAGTCAGGTCGTAAATTTAATATAATAATTTGACTAATTTGGTAATTTTTGTCAGGTCGTAAATTTAATATAATAATGGTCGTAAATGTAATATATAAATTTGACCGCATATAGGGTGATTCGTCGTAACAACGTTAACTAAGGGCCTTGATCAGTATCTTTGAAGAGGTCGGGTCATTGACCGAAGAACCGAAGGGAGAAAAGAACGGAGCGTTAAGAATGGGAGAGTCGGAGTCAGTTCATTCTGCAGTTCTCGCGATAAAAATAAAACCCGTTTGGCTATTGCAAACACTGCTTGAGCTAAGAATTTAAAAGATTAAATTAAACTGAAGAATAAATAAATTAATTTAAAGATGTCTTTAGCAGTTTTACTTAAGATTAAGCTGAGATACTTTAAGTTTGTTTTAGGAGAGGATGAAGGTTGTCTGGCGTGGTTCAGAGGAGAGGGCAAGGCAAAGAGCTACGAAATTGTACTGGCACTGATTTGAGTCGCGGAAAATATGGCTAGATTAGGTCCAGCGGGAAGAGATGAAATTTAGGTGGTTGTCAGATTAGGCCCGTGAAGTGCTGGTAGTTAGGATTAGAATCCTAGTCAAGCAAGCATACTCGCTTAGACTTTCTAGGGAAGATGTTAAAAGGAGAATGAATAGTGAAATTTAACATGGTCTTTGAATTATGTTTAAGGAGCGGAAGGTCCTTTTATTTAGTTCAATGACTCAAGAAAGATTCAATGACTTTTATGTTTTGCGGTTACATTGCTATAATTGTTGTGTTCAGTCGAACCACAAAATAATGAGCTTGGTTTATTTGCGATATTATCCCGCTACAGAGATATAGCAATAATCCAGATATTCTTTAAAATATTCTATTCTAAGATGACGCCGCGTTCCATGTAAATAACTGTGCAAATCGCTGTAACTGCCGAATTTGAAGCTCTAAAATTCACGTGTGCAAATGAACATATACGAGATTCTCCCAAAGTACCTAATGCGACTTTTATGAATAACACAATTTTTGGCTTTTTTTTTTTTTTTTTTCCTTTTTTGGAAACAATCAGCATTAACTTGAGCATGTTCCAAATCTTTTCATTCCCTCACATCGAGTAAATAGAGGGATGTCGAGTTGCAGATTTTCTGTAAACAAGAGTTAGCATTGACCCACATAGCGAATCATGCGGAATGAATTGAGTCATCGCTTTCTAGGATGGTGGCTTTGCAAAAAGAAATCTGTCCCAAAATTCTAATAGAAGTTCTGATCTTACCCCTATAGACTTTGCCAAAAATGAGATAAACTTGAATTGTTATAAACTTCGTCACCCCGAAATGAGAATCACACAGACAATTTAAGCGGTGCATCAGGTGTCCTTGATCGAATGTAAACCGAAATTTAATACATCTGTGATGTTTACCATGCACTGTTCGAAACTGTGTTTCAGCGTTTACAATACACTGAAACTTACACTGTTCGTGATCTCTTTTAGTGTCTCAAATATTTTCAAACCATGTTAGAGAATACCTATTCCACAGAAACTTAAAAAAATATCTTCATTTTCGGAGACTAAATTGAATTTATTGATATAAACGTATTTTTTTTTTTTTTTTTTTTTCACGCCAAGCCTCACATTAACTTTAGTTTATACCATACTGTCGAAGGAAAATGCGGTCGACAGTCAGCATTTCTAGACTACTTACTGTATGTATGGTTTTTAAACTCGCACTCTGTGCGAGTTCTGGGAAAATACTAAGGGATGGCTTTATTTCACTTTAGATAAATAACCCAACTCTTGCAGTAACCTTTCATCGTTATCATTTCGCTTCTCAAGGAAAAATATTTCGCGCCTCTAACAGTAAAAACACTAATCAGGAAGTTTTGAAAAGTTTTCTAGAGGAGACGAATTTTAGCTTAGTAAAAGATAGATGTGTGTGTGTGTGATTATGGCAAAGCCTCAAGGGCTATCTGCCTAAGGGGAGGGATGCCTTCGGGGAGGACTTTCTTAGGGAAACTGGCTCGTATAAACGTTACACATGGGGAAAACCACGAAAACACCCATGCAGCCAACCCGTTCGTGGTATTCGAACCTCGGACCGAACTACCAGCGTTCAGCGACTTTACCGCTCGGCCGCTGGTGGGCAGTAAAAGATAGATACGATTAAAAGTAGATTATACTGAATATTTAATACAAATAAATGGATAGAAAGAAATAACTTGAAAACCTGAGTAGGAATTAAGCAAAAGGGAAAAAAGAAATTAACGTTCAATCTGAAAATTTAGACTTAAATCTAACCTCTGGAAAATCTAATTTACAATTTTTTTTTTATTTGAAAAACATTAAATAAATTTTTCTTGTGTTCTTAAAAATCATATTTGTTGTTAATTCAAACTTAATTTTTAAGATTCACTAAAATTACAATATAATCCAAAGGAATTTCCCCATTGGCTTCAATCTGATTATACTTTCTTTACATATAACATGCCTAGTATTTTTACGAGTGTGGTATTTTGTAAAATATTCACACTTATGAAATGGAACCTGACGAAATTGACATATATATCTTGTTTCGCGTACAGTTTTATGATTTATTATCACTTCCTACATCGGATAACTTTATTTGCTAAATGTTCCTACAGATTTCCGCGTCTTGCACAGAAAACACTTTCGTGCTTACCATTTTAAAGGTTACGAAATTACTTAAAAATGCAACTTAAAAAGGAAAATTGCGATGAAAAATTAACATGCAGATAGTACTATAACTAATGGTACCAAGAAAAATAACATGTGCATAAAATGAAAAACTAGCGCAGGTACTGAAAATTCAAGCAAAAACATAAATCTACGTGGTTCGTCCTAGGCAGCCATAGTGAAAAAACAAATTTATGTGTCCCGTCCGTTAAGTGGTCCTTTTAAAACGTCCTTTTAAACGTCCTTTTAAAGAACAAAAGGCATAAAAATTTTTAATAGACTACTGCATATTTATAATACATTTGAAATATTTGAATGCAGCATTTTCCCGCTATTTATATTATAAAATTCCTAACCAAAGTTTTTAACTGCAAATAACAAAACACACTAAGACAATTTACTGAAAGGTTTGGTTAACTGATTAAGACGAAACAGAGAAGGATTTAAGGAAAGAAATGCTTTCGTGGATAATTTTCTAAGGGAAAAGGACTTATATTCACTCTTTTTGAAAGAAAGTAATGAGAGATTCTCAGGAGAAGAGGCTCATTCATACGACACACAGAAATATCTAAAAGTGAATATTTTTACAAAGATACATTAGCCAACGTCATCACATCGCAATCGAATATTTCCTTCTTTTTATTCAAACACAAGTAATCAGTTTAATTTTCTTCCAGCCACATTTATTGCTAATTTGCGATCGAATGTTGTTTATGATAGGATTCTGCTATATCACTCTAATATCCCTAGATCCACAAGCGAGTCAAAAAGCATTTGACTCAGTTTGAAATTTCTAGACTACTTACCGCATTCCCTATTCAAAAAATTCGCCAATCTCAGTATTATACTAATGTATATTAAACTAAAATTAAGCAGGATTTCTAATTCGTACTGAGTAAGTAACACATTGCAATAACAATGTCATTTATTCACAAAGATCTAGAGGTAAAATCTACATTGTATTTTTTAAAAATACCCTTCTTCTCACTTTTTTAATTTAAGAGTGATGCATTTTTGAATTTACTAACTCTCCTTGAAACATAATTTTGAATTAATGATGCAAAAACAATAAAGTAATCAGAAACTATAATTTGTTATTTATTCACTAATTTCTAAAAACTAAATTTCTAAAAACAAAAAAACTAAATTTCTAAAAACAAAAATCTACAAACAGCAAACAAAATTAGTGCGGATGAAAAAAGATGTTTAAATTACAAGTGGCAAGAGGTTTCATTGTATGAATTCTAAATATTTTCCTCCCCTTAGTGCAATCTTCATAAATTTATTATTCTGATAACAGGTAATGTAAATCTTTTCTTAACCTTACTTCACTTATAGAATGAGTCATTAGAATTATCTGTAGCTTCGGCAACATTGGAATTAACATTGAATCGGCTCTATCATCAGACTTGCTGTACGTATTGAACATTTTAGAATAACTCTCTGATAACGAAAAAGCACTGACCAGATCGGACGTAGACGGAGAATAATTATCCGCTTAAGACATATCTACATCGGACCTATCTGAAATACTTTCTGAATCTTATCTCCGAAAACAGCCTTTGGTTCGACATTACCAAATGTAACATGTGGGCTTTCGTCTAGTGGCATATACTCGGGGTCTTCGTCGGGTGGTGGCATATACTCGGGGTCTTCGTCGGGTCGTGGCACATACTCGGGGTCTTCGTCGGGTCGTGGCACATACTCGGGGTCTTCGTCGGGTCGTGGCACATACTCGGGGTCCTCGTCGGGTCGTGGCACATACTCGGGGTCTCGTCGGGTCGTGGCACATACTCGGGGTCCTCGTCGGGTCGTGGCACATACTCGGGGTCCTCGTCGGGTCGTGGCACATACTCGGGGGTCGTGGCACATACTCGGGGTCCTCGTCGGGTCGTGGCACATACTCGGGGTCCTCGTCGGGTCGTGGCACATACTCGGGGTCGTCGTCGGGTCGTGGTCGGTCGGGTCGTCTCGGTCGTGGTCGTGGCACATACTCGGGGTCGTCGTCGGGTCGTGGCACATACTCGGGGTCGTCGTCGGGTCGTGGCACATACTCGGGGTCGTCGTCGGGTCGTGGCACATACTCGGGGTCTTCGTCGGCTCGTGGCACATACTCGGGGTCCGGTCCTGGCACATAGTCGGGGTCCGGTCCTGGCACATAGTCGGGGTCCGGTCCTGGCACATAGTCGGGGTCCGGTCCTGGCACATAGTCGGGGTCCGGTCCCGGGTCCTGGAACATAGTCGGGGGTCGGGTCGGTCCTGGCACATAGTCGGGTCGGTCCTGGCACATAGTCGGGGTCCGGTCCTGGCACATAGTCGGGGTCCGGTCCTGGCACATAGTCGGGGTCCGGTCCTGGCACATAGTCGGGGTCCGGTCCTGGCACATAGTCGGGGTCCGGTCCTGGCACATAGTCGGGGTCCGGTCCTGGCACATAGTCGGGGTCCGGTCCTGGCACATAGTCGGGGTCCGGTCCTGGCATATAGTCGGGGTCCGGTCCTGGCATATAGTCGGGGTCCGGTCCTGGCATATTGTCGGGGTCCGGTTTCCTGGCAATAGTCGGGGGGTCCGGTCCTGGAATAGTCGGGGTCCGGTCTGGCATATAGTCGGGGTCCGGTCCTGGCATATAGTCGGGGGTCCGGTCTGGATATAGTCGGGGTCCGGTCCTGGCATAGTCGGGGTCCGGTCTGGCATATAGTCGGGGTCGGTCCTGGCATTAGTCGGGTCCGGGTCGGGTCCTGGCATATAGTCGGGGTCCGGTCCTGGCATATAGTCGGGGTCCGGTCCTGGCATATAGTCGGGGTCCGGCCCTGGCATATAGTCGGGGTCCGGCCCTGGCGATATAGTCGGGGTCCGGCCCTGGCATATAGTCGGGGTCCGGCCCTGGCATATAGTCGGGGTCCGGCCCTGGCATATAGTCGGGGTCCGGCCCTGGCGTATAGCCGGGGTCCGGCCCTGGCGTATAGTCGGGGTCCGGCCCTGGCGTATAGTCGGGGTCCGGCCCTGGCGTATAGTCGGGTTCCGGTCGTGGCATATAGTCGGGTTCCGGTCGTGGCATATAGTCGGGTTCCGGTCGTGGCATATAGTCGGGTTCCGGTCGTGGCATATACTCGGGGTCCGGTCGTGGCAATACTCGGGGTCCGTCGTGGCATATACTCGGGGTCCGGTCGTGGCATATAGTCGGGGTCCGGTCGTGGCATATAGTCGGGGTCCGGTCGTGGCATATAGTCGGGTTCCGGTCGTGCCATATAGTCGGGTTCCGGTCGTGCCATATAGTCGGGTTCCGGTCGGTGCCCTATAGCGGGTCCGGTCGTGCCATATAGTCGGGTACCGGTCGTGCCATATAGTCGGGTTCCGGTCGTGGCATATACTCAGGTTCTTCTTCCGGTCGTGGCATATGCTCAGGGTCCGGTCGTGGCATATGCTCAGGGTCCGGTCGTGGCATATGCTCAGGGTCCGGTCGTGGCATATGCTCAGGGTCCGGTCGTGGCATATGCTCAGGGTCCGGTCGTGGCATCAGTCAGGGTCCGGTCGTGGCATACAGTCAGGGTCCGGTCGTGGCATACAGTCAGGATCCGGTCGTGGCATACAGTCAGGATCCGGTCGTGGCATACAGTCAGGGTCCGGTCGTGGCATACAGTCAGGGTCCGGTCGTGGCATACAGTCAGGGTCCGGTCGTGGCATACAGTCAGGGTCCGGTCGTGGCATATAGTCAGGGTCCGGTCGTGGCATATAGTCAGGGTCCGGTCGTGGCATATAGTCAGGGTCCTGTCATATAGTCGTGTCCGTCGGGCATATAGTCAGGGTCCTGTCGGGCATATAGTCAGGGTCCTGTCGTGGCATATAGTCAGGGTCCGTCGGGGCATATAGTCAGGGTCCGGTCGGGGCATATAGTCAGGGTCCGGTCGTGGCATATAGTCGGGTCTTCCGGTCGTGGCATATAGTCGGGGTCTTCCGGTCGTGGCATATAGTCGGGGTCTTCCGGTCGTGGCATATAGTCGGGGTCTTCCGGTCGTGGCATATAGTCGGGGTCTTCCGGTCGTGGCATATAGTCGGGGTCCGGCCCTGGCATTAGTCGGGGTCCGGCCCTGGCATATAGTCGGGGTCCGGCCCTGGCATATAGTCGGGGTCCGGCCCTGGCATATAGTCGGGGTCCGGCCCTGGCATATAGTCGGGGTCCGGCCCTGGCATATAGTCGGGTTCCGGCCGGCCATATAGTCGGGTTCCGGTCGTGCCATATAGTCGGGTTCCGGTCGTGCCATATAGTCGGGTTCCGGTCGTGCCATATAGTCGGGTTCCGGTCGTGCCATATAGTCGGGTTCCGGTCGTGCCATATAGTCGGGTTCCGGTCGTGGCATATACTCGGGTTCCGGTCGTGCCATATACTCAGGATCTTCTTCCGGTCGTGGCATATGCTCAGGGTCCGGTCGTGGCATATAGTCAGGGTCCGGTCGTGGCATATAGTCAGGGTCCGGTCGTGGCATATAGTCAGGATCCGGTCGTGGCATATAGTCAGGATCCGGTCGTGGCATCGGGTCGTATAGTCAGGATCCGGTCGTGGCATATAGTCAGGATCCGGTCGTGGCATATAGTCAGGATCCGGTCGTGGCATATAGTCAGGACCCGGTCGTGGCATATAATCAGGATCCGGTCGTGGCATATAGTCAGGATCCGGTCGTGGCATATAGTCAGGGTCCGGTCGTGGCATATAGTCAGGGTCCGGTCGGGGCATATAGTCAGGGCCGGCGGTGGAATTAGTCAGGGTCCGGTGGGGCATTATAGTCAGGGGTCTCGGTCCTGGCATATAGTCAGGGTCTTCCGGTCCTGGCATATAGTCAGGGTCCGGTCGTGGCATATAGTCAGGGTCCGGTCGTGGCATATAGTCAGGGTCTTCCGGTCCTGGCATGTAGTCAGGTTCCGGTCGTGGCATATAGTCAGGTTCCGGTCGTGGCATATAGTCGTCCGGTCGTGGATATATCAGGCGTTCAGGTTCCGGTCGTGGCATATAGTCAGGTTCCGGTCGTGGCATATAGTCAGGTTCCGGTCGTGGCATATAGTCAGGTTCCGGTCGTGGCATATAGTCAGGTTCCGGTCGTGGCATATAGTCAGGTTCCGGTCGTGGCATATAGTCAGGGTCCAGGTCGTGGCATATACTCAGGGTCAGGTCGTGGCATATACTCAGGGTCAGGTCGTGGCATATACTCAGGGTCCCGTCGAGGCATATACTCAGGTTCTTCGTCCGGTCGAGGCATATACTCAGGGTGTTCGTTCGGTCGAGTCATATACTCATGGTCCGGTCGTGGCATATACTCGGGGTCTTCGTCCGGTCGTGGCATATACTCGGGGTCTGGTCGTGGCATATGCTCAGGGTCTTCGTCTGGTCTCAGGGTTATTCGTCGTGGTATATGTTCAGGGTCTTCGTCTGGTCGTGGTATATGCTCAGGTCTTCGTCTGGTCGTGGTATATGCTCAGGGTCTTCGTCTGGTGGTGGTATATGCTCAGGGTCTTCGTCTGGTGGTGGTATATGCTCAGGGTCTTCGTCTGGTGGTGGTATATGCTCAGGGTCTTCGTCTGGTGGTGGTATATGCTCAGGGTCTTCGTTTGGTGGTGGTATATGCTCAGGGTCTTCGTTGGTGGTGGTATATCTGGTCGTATACACTTCGGGTCTTCGTCTGGTCGCAGAGAGATGCAATTTTTTGTAACTTTATCACTTTTATAATAGCATAGTTTTTCGATAGTATGTACATCGTTCATGAACGAGAAGCTTATACAATTTTGATATATTTCTTGGATATACTGCGCAGCGTCGTCTGGTTTTTCAATCCTTAAAATAGGTGAAGTAAGCTTGATTCCTTTTAACATCATTTTGATATTTTCTGGCTTCACGCTTTGCAATTCCAGATAAGCTTTAAACTTTTCACTATCAACAGTTGATATTTCAGGAATTTCACTGATGCAACGCAAGCATGCTGTATAAATTTCTTCGATATGATCCGAATCAAACTCTGTTGAAACTTGCGGAATTCTAGAACAGTTAATATGCTTGGTAACATCAAATGTGCGATTCCGTTCTTGATGCAGTATTTGCGTACCATTTTGCATAGCAAAGGAAAGCTCAGAAAATGTATTTCGACGTTTCCAATTATTTTGTACATCAGCAATTCTACCATCCAACTTCACGGCAAAAATCCGAGCAAATGAAATACTTCGTATTAAAGCAAACATATTGAGATTTATCGATCTGTTATTTTCCAACTTAAATACACTTATTCCAATAATAATACGAAAGGAAAAAAAAAAGGCTCAATTATTTTACAGCAAATAATAATAAGAAGTAACTATCAACTTCCATTACGACTATCTTGGCTGAGTATGACTATCTTGGCTGAGAGTATTAATACAAGTCGCTTTAGTGACGAAACATGAAAGAAATCTGCATAGTATATTCGAAACATTCCTTTCGATTACAATGATCATCAATCGATATGTATATACATCTAGTTCTATTCCTTATTTTAGTAATAAAGTTGTAGTAGTCGAACCTTTTGCTCAGAAACATACTTTTTCAAGTCTGATGATTAGTATCTCAGTAAGTTCCCTCATTACATCTTTTTATTCCACCAGCAGTCTGATATTTTGGTTGTTTGAAATTAGACAAAAAGCAACCTTAGTTTATCAATCTAGACCTAGACCTGATGCAGATTGGGATGAATAAAACTCTAGCGATTTTAATTAATAAACGACGTTTGTCATGCTTGGATCCTGCATCTTGAAATTTAAAAAAAAAGTTAAATATTATAAAAAAGTAGTATAATACTTTATAGTGGACTAAAGCTCATTTCGATACGTGTATCATGTAATTTTTCCTATATTATTCAGTAAACTTACAGCTTATATCAACGGAAAAGAAATTACTTACCAGAATGTTCAAGGCCTCTTAATAAAAAATTTGCGTATTAGTTTAAATTTCGTTGAAGAGAAAAGGTTATATGTTTTGTTTTATGCAAATAAAACAAATCTTTTACTTGATTTTAATAAATCAAAAGAAACGTTATTCCAGTTTTCTAGTCTATATTTAGACGACTGGAATAATTGCTTAACGATTGGAATAATTGCGTACTTTCTTTTTTAGGAATTTTTGTATTTATTTCTGTTTTTGTATTTATTTTGGATTTACCAAAATAGCCTTTCTTTTCATTGAATTTGTATATTATGGCCGTTTATGAGGTGTCGAGGGCGTGAATGAAGGTTTTCTTGTGCGCTCCTAGGTAATTGTAAATATATAATTTAGTAGTGTAGTTTGGTCTTTGGACAAAAAGGTCATTTTTACCTCCTTTTGATCAAAAAAGTCTGTTTGGATAATGCATTTGTCCCTGCATATTTAAATAGATATACGAAAATGGCGCCAGCGCAGGAGGCAGAATTTAGGGGCTGCAAAATTTTGGGAATTTATGGAAGCACCAGGTAGCAGGATTTAGGACCTCAAAGATTTCACCGGGCAGCAAAATTTGTTACATAACTAAAATATATGTATTTCTAAACGTAAGAAATATATATTTTAGTTAAGTAGAAAATGAAATACTTTATAAAATTTTTATTGACAATACTTATTTTGAAGACAAGCAATCTATTATAAGACATAAGAATAACGAATAACTTATTTAATATAATGATGGCTCCCTCTCCTTTCGCTTTCCAGGATACCGACTGAATTTGGAGCACCTAAATTTTGCCGCCTGAGTGCGGAGTGTTCCCTGCATACCCGCCAAGGAACTGCCCTACCTGTGTATATTATAAAACTTGTCATTTCTATCATTTGTTAGATTTCACGTCAACATTTACTTGTGGCGCCAAACGGCGCTTCGTTATCTGCAGAGTATTCAGTTAGTGCCCACCAGCAACCGAACCGTAAAATCTCTGAACACTGGTAATTCTGACCTGGGTTGAATTCCATTCGTAAGGGCTCGCTGCATGGGCGTTTTCGTGGTTTTTCTCTTGTGTAACGTGTATACAAGCCAGTTTCCCTTAGAATGGCCTCTCTTTAATCAGATAGCCCTAATGCTTCGCCATAATGCCCGCTGGCCAACTCTAACCCGCCGGAAGGTTCTATCCGGCCCGTGGATGTAATTTTAATTTACTGGCCCCAGGCAAATTAAAAGAAATATATATTTGTATATTATATAACCATCTCTTCTGCTTTGTTTAAATATTATTTTTTTCTTCCTTTTTTCCAAAGGACTGATGATCTTTTTACTTTCTGTATTTTTGTGCTACAAAACATAAATCGACGGAAATAGCAAGCACAGACAACCTTCAATCGGTAAAGGGCTAAAAGCGGAAGTTCGTTTTTAGTTATAGCTGTAGATTGACGCCAACAAGCGTTATCTCTGTCTCCAGAAGCAGGCATATAGGAATCCAATATAGGTGAATTAGACCTCACACGTGGCAGACTGCGAAAATTCATCAGGCCGACAAAATTTTTCCAAGAAGGTAAACAGTATCCAAGAAGCAGCTACACATGCAAGTTACATTGTAGAATACAATATTGCTAAAAATTAATAAAGCTGTCAGTGATGCAAAGTTCGTTAAATAATACATGCTACAAGTTTGTGATGTTTTATGTCCAGACAAGAAAAGTAATGTTCAGACTGTAAGCATATCTCGAAAAACTGTGACATCTAGAATCGAAGAAACTGATAAAAATCTGACATCACAATTAGAGTCAAAGATTGGCCAGATGTGATATTTTTCGTGAATTTCAGGAAGGGTTTTTAACTTTGCAAGTGCCTATAACAAATATATGTAATATTACGACCGATGGGGCACCAGATATGATAGGGAAAAAATCTAGATTTTTTTAGGTTCTTTTATCAACACTATCCCGGGGACAATGCAGTTTTTCTACATTGTGTTATACATCAAGATGCTCTGTGTAAACCTGCATTGAATATGAAACTGTGCTTGATGCAGACCTGAAGCTTGTAAACACTATTCGATCTCGTGGACTTATTCATAGTAAATTTCGAGATTTTCTTTAGTCCGTGCAGTCTGAATACTCTGATGTACTGTATTACACTAAAGTAAAGTGGCTTAGTGCAGGATGTGTTTTCGAGCGAGTTTGGTAGCTGAAAGTCGACATTGTGTCGTTCTTCCATGAGGAACAGTGTTCTGTGGAGTGCGAAATGTTAGGAGATACAGAATGGCTTTCGGAATTTGCATTTTTTCACAGATCTTCTTTGTCATATGAGCAATTTGAGTTTATCGACAATATCTGGGACCATTTCAAAGCCATTAAACTAAAACTTAATCTGTTTGCTGGACAGCTAGCTAAGGACGACTTGTCTCATTTCTCGAGGTTAAATTCAATATCCTCAGTAAATGAAAATAAGCTTAATTGTGAAGATAGCTTCAAAAAAACTACATTTTGAGTTCCAACGCAGATTTCAAGATTTCAGTGCCATTCAAACAGAATTAGATATTTTTGCCATACCTTTCAACGAAAATTGTGAAGCAGTGAGGTCAGATTTGCAGCTTGAATGAATTGAGTTGCAATCTAAAAATCATCTCAAGCAGTTGTTTCTAAATATGCGAAATTCAGAGTTTTACAAATCATTATCGAAAGTAAGTTTCCCAAATTTAATATCTCATGCCGAGAAAATCAGTGCTATGTTTGCTTCATCTTATATATGTGAATAAGTGTTTTCAACTGTGAACCTTAGAATGAATTATTTCAGAAGTAGACTGACAGATAAGCATTTAGCCTATCGTTCCTTAGAATCAGTATATATCACTTCGAACCTCAATATAAGAAACTTTTAAAAATGAAATCGCAATTTTATTCATCTCATTAATATATTTAAATTGTGATGCTTGTATATTGTTTTTAAAATTTTAGAAAAATTTATCTTGGCCCGCCAACTTTTTTTTTTTTTTCCAATTTTTGGCCCGTGACGGTAAACGTTTGCCCATCCCTGATCAAAACGAAACCTACTAAGTTAATTAAAAGTAAGAGTTCCACAAATTGTCCTTCCAAATCTTGATTTTTATTCATATTATGCAATGTAAAATACTAGATATTTGTTAATGGTAATTTTCGGTCTTTTCCGTTTCAGGACAGCACGAGCT